CAGAGGCGTGCTAAGGCCCAGCAGGGGGACTTCATGTGTCACCGCATCTTTGGCAACCTCACGACAACACCCTTGTCATGATGACTCACAACCTAAAAAAGATGACTTGAGCAACAATACACACACACACACACGCGCACACTAAAAAAAAACGACTCTTCAGGCTTCCCCATATGCAAGGGCATTACAGAAAGTATAGTGGTGTCTTAAATTACAAATGTAATTTATCCTGTGACCATGCTTGTAACGCAAAACAATTTCCCAATTAAAAGGAATCCAAATGCCGTTGATCCATTGCAGCTCCACACGATGTTTCTTTTGGTGTGTGTGTTTCCTGGCCACCAGGGGGCGGTATACAGACAGACGTTTATGACGGCAACGGTCACAACTGACTGTTGCAGTAGTATTAGCGGGTCTATGGAGTTTTGCATTGTCTGTTAGCATTAAGCTAGCGCCAGCTAAACCAAAATAAAGTTGGTTGTTTTACACACACGCAACCTTTAATTCTATAGATTTTTATTTTCAAAGAATTGTTCATTATCTGTCAAACTGTTGCCTGCTGTCAAGTAAAGTGAGTTTGCTGCCAAAAGGAAAAAAAAAATGGTCAGGGCTAGCTCAATAGCATGGGCAAGTATCACTCTCAGGTATCAGTATTGGGTTGATATCGGCCTTATTTTGATTTGAATGAAACTAACATGGTCATTTTTGGAATGTGGGAGGAAGTGGGGGTGCCTGGTGGACTCGCTAGCCAGTCACTGTCTTTAAAAGCCAAAGACCAGGTGCAAAACCTTAGGGTGCTGATTGGCCCAGACTGGAATTTAAGCTGTCATATCAACACAAACACGAAGATTACAGCTGAAAAAACCCCATCTCCAAACTGAAGTCTTGCATGCTCCAAGCAAAACAGAAGAAGCTTAGCCATGCTTTTATCTTCAGGAGACTTGATTACGATCATCATTACGTTCTGACCGGACTCCCTCAAAAGAGCATCAAACAGCTGCAGCTCATTCAGAACGCTGCAGCTTGGGTTCTTACCACCAGAACTAAGAGATCAGAATGCTTTATTCCAGTCCTAAAGGGTTTAAACCTGGCGCCCGGTCAGCTGGAGAATAGATTTTAAAATGATGCTACAGGTCTTTAAAAATCATTGAATGGCTTCGGTCCCGAATACATCAAACAAATGCTAATTGCTTTCACATAAACACTTTTTAAGGCACACTCTCTCATTCGCACGCACGCACGCACGCACGCACGCACGCACACACACACACACACACACACACACACACACACACACACACACACGCGCGCTCATTCGCTCACACAGATGCACACGCTCTCCCTCCCTTGCACAATATTGCAAAGTTAATGTGGCACATAACACCTGGAGATGTGTTGAGAGCAACGGCAACCCATGGGCCTTGACACACACACACACACACACACACACACACACACACACACACACACACACATACATACATACATACATACGCACGCCCACATCTTCACTCAGCACCCCCTCTTGCCTGGAGCTGTTGCATTGTGTGGCGAAAAAAAAAAAAAAAAGCCTGATTACCATTTGCATGACTTGGTGATGCAGCGCGTACGAGCCTCCTAACCGTGGACCGAAGCGGCGTAGACAAGCTATTGTCATGATAAAAGGCCAAGTCAATCAATTTCGCATCAGACGTCTATTTTCGGGGTACATGATTGTGGTGGAGCTAACGCATATCTCCCGCCATACGTGATCATCACTTTGCATGGAGTGAAATGTCTGTCGGAAAAGGACAACTGTGCTTGAGACTGGGGAGGAATTGATGTCAAGATTGCATGAAAGCCTCGAGATCAATTTCAAGACAACTTGGGACAGATTGAATGAGGCGATTTTTCATCCATTCATATTGAGACGAACAATTTGCAAATTCAAATAAAAAGGCCACATAGATAAGGATTAGAAATGCCATTTTGAATCTGATGAAATGCAGCAACACCACACTTTGAGGCAAATTAGTCGACAAGTATGTCTATGTATAGCGTTCTATACCGATCCCCTCCACCAGTTCCATCAATTGTTTTTGCAATAATAAAATATCCAAATATTTTTTCCCATTTTAAGGTTTTAAATATGGCAAAGGAATATAAACCATTTAAAATAATTTATATAAACACAGCAGTATTTTCGTGTGAATTAAATTCATTGAATAAAATCTGGTACTGTTGTCTTCGCTTTACATTATAAAAGCAATGCTGCAATGAGCATGCCAGACCAGTTGTTGGCGACGACACACACTGAACGCGCTTTAACCTGAAAACTGTGTTTCCTTAATGCTTTAGCCGACAGCTGCACATTCGCAGTTCGGCACCCGTGGATTTGCATATTTGCTGATTTTTTTTCTAAAAAAAATTTCCCAATTTGGGTATTTTTCCTTTTTTCTGGGATTTTTTTCCCCTCGTACTTCCTAAAATAAAATAAAAAACATGAATGAAGGGGCCAGTACGCCTCTCAGCCTGTAACCCTGAAAGGCTCATTAACAAATCCGGAGGGTGCATAGCAGTAGAGCGAAGGAAAGAGAGAAGCCAACACCCCCCACCCCCCCATCTCTATAAAAGAACCCAGCCGGACATCCATCCTAATGGGCCCAAGCTCATTCGCAGCCCGGCCGGCTGCAGGTGGAGAAGCCGAGGCGCGTAATTGCTCATTAGAGGGCGACAGGCTGGGGTTGTTGCGCACGCTGGCCCTGTGACAGGCAAGGGAGAGCGTGACATTTGATGGGCGGTGGCACGCAATTGAGAGAATCGACGGTGGGAGTGTGGGAGGGGTGTGAGGCCACAACATTAGGCACACCTGTGCAAACAAGGGGCGCAAAGGGTCAGCACAGCTTTTGGGTAGAGGATGTAGACTGCCACGTTGGAGCTCGGACAAGTTTCGGCATCTCATACATGCACAGAGTATGTGTATGATTTTTTTTTTTTTTTTTTTTAAATGTGTGTCACGATAGTTACCATAAAGCGTGCATCACAATAGACAAGATGACATAGTTCAGGAAGTGAATGGTGAACACCATGTAAAAAAAAGTCACTGATGATCAACTCAAGCCATGCAGTGAGTTAGCGTTGCTCACTGCATTTTTCAAAGTTGCTGTATATTAATGATTACTTTGCCATTAAAAACAATTTTGTAGTCTTGTCAGTGCAAACATATTAGCTTAAAAATCTACTCTGGTGGTTCTTTGCACTAAAATCTTGGTTTTGCGGAGTTGGGTCAGAAACTGGTGTTTTTGGTTCAACTGCTGATTACACTGGTCAAGAAATATTTACAATGTTTTTTTTTTTTTTTTTTTAGTCAGAGATCCAAGTACCTTCTAGATCAGGGGTGGCCAACCAGTCAGAGGCTAAGAGCCTTTTTTTTTTTACTGTGTTACTGCAAAGAGCCACATACACATGGGCATCTCATCCTCGCATGCGCACACACACACACACACACACACACACACACACACACACACACACACACACACACACAAACGCACCCACACACACACACGCGCACGCACGCACGTGGGTGCCCACCATGCACTCACGCACATATGCACGCATGCCATGATGAGCAACAGCCAGAACGGCCTGAACATGAACGAAACCTAAAGACACAAACACACATATCCCCCCCCCCCACTCACGGTCGATTTGGGGCCAGTCTGCTGGCTCTTGGCCAATTGGGATCGACGTATTGGGCACCCCTGCCATAAAAATATAAACAGAGGTAATTCGCTGACTAGCTAAGCACTAGAGGTAATTAGCTTATTAGCTTAGCGTTTAGCACCATTGTTTGCGCATGAGAGGGGATGCAGTCATCTGACTCGTTGCCCTCTGTGTCAATCAAGTAACGGTATTGATGATAGGCTGACGTAGTACGGTCTGTGTATTTAGTGCCGTTGTTTGAATGGCATTGCCACCGGCAAGGCGTTTTCGACACTTGTCGTGTGAAAGCCCAGGACCCGCATTCAACCAGCCAAAGAGCCGCATGCGGCTCGCGAGCCGCGGATTGGCCACCACTGTTCTAGATTTTGTTTTTTGTGTGTGTTGATTCAGATTTTTTTTCTTTATCGAGTGTATCAAGTTTGCTGTTGACCAGTGTTATTAAAGAAAGAGGTTAAAACACCTCTTTTCTCATGTGGCTCAGCAGGCTCAAGCAAGTGCAGCTGTGTTTTAATGTCGCAGCCTTTACGCGTGTGTGTGTGTGTGTGTGTGTGTGTGTGCGCGTGTTTGTTTTAGATGACGCAAAGCCGGCAAAAACGAGGTCAAGGATATGACTTCATAATAGGTGGCGTGTTATTCATTTCCATCCATACTGTCATTTTGTCTTTATCTCATTCTGCTGAGCATTAGTCCTCAGAGGGCCTATCAATCGGGGGGCTAATGGCTCGTAATTGCCTGCAGACGGCTGCGAACATCACAAGCGGCGAGCTGCTAGGGGAAAGGCGATGGGGGTGAGGGAGCGGGAGCGGGAGGGGGAGTCCTGCACGGGGTCTCCCGCACAGGCCCATAATCACACGTACAGTAGAAAATTGCTTACGATAGATTAAGCCACCTCCGGGGCGACGTTGGGGTGCGGGTTCAAGCCATTTCCGACTCATTTTGCCTCGGGAAGCTTTTCGAGCGACGCCATGCATGCATTAATGTGATTCCCACGGAGAGACGGGTTCAAACGGAAAGTAAGAAATGACTGAGACGATCCTGCGACGCACGTTCGCACAATGGCGGCAAAGGGGATGTTCCTCCCGGAGACGAAAATCAATCAATCACGCACGCGAGCGTTTCTGCTTATCGATACGATCCTTGTCGATTTGAATTGAGTGAAGGAACGATACAATCGACAGAATGTATGCTACCGTTGATAATGCGCAGGATGTTTAAATTCTGCATAAAGAACACATTCCCCACTCAAGTGTCACGTGGTGATTTATTTTCATTTGGTTCAATAAAAGTCAAGGACGTGAAGGCAGAGCTATACTCATTTATTTCGTTGTGTAAATGAATACCAAGAAAAGGCTCAAGTGACGTAACACAACACTGAGGTCTTGTTTGGACTTTCACCCCTTTAAATAGAGGCACTCATTCAGAGACAGCCGGTGGAGCGCACACATACGCGCGCACGCACACGCAGTTTGATGACCCCCCCCCCCCGCCTGATGGTTTCATCGAATGCGGGCTAAATGTTTAGGTTGAAAGTTGCAGCAGTTGGAAATTCCCCGTCAGCATCTTGGATTCGACTGGCATGATCGTCACTGACAAAGCTGACATGAACAATCCCTGAAGGTTTGAAAAGATTAGGTAGTAAGAGGGCTTATGATTAACATGACCTTCAACTTGACCTCAAGCAAACTCCGCAATTCTTTTAAGCGAAGAGGGTTTGGTCTTTTTTTTCTTATTTAGATTACAGATCAATGATGTCAAAGAGAACCAAAATCAAATTAAGAATTGGTCCAAAGAGTTTAAATTCACCCATTTAAATGCAGCCATCTTGTCAAATAATCAATAAAAATAAATACTGCTTAAAGGGGTAGATTGTCTTTTCTGAAACTAAGGTGGAATAACAAAAAAATAATCATAATAATAAATTGCTGAACAGGCATATTTATCATACCTTGATTTTTAACTGTTGGTACATTCCAATTAATAAAACTGATCACATTTAGTGCCATAGAATCACTCGATTGTGAAGAAGTCATGCAAAAATGAGCTGTTGTGATTTGGGGTAGATTCCCATGATTTCAACATTTGGGAAAAAAAAAAGACAAGCCCCAATAAACTAAACAAAGCCTTTTTTATGTTGCACACCCCCTGGAGGACACTGGTGCCTCACACCCCCTTTTTGAGAAAAAAAAATCTGCTAAAAAGCTCTTGGTTTTCTTCCAGATGTTTTAAAAGGTCACTCCAGTTTACACGCGCGCACACAATAAAGAGTTCGGAGTCTGTTAAGCGCGAGTGAAGCGAGCAAATATTTGGACGGAATGGCAGCAAGACACCGACTGTCGCTTAAGGTGAAGAGGAAGCAGATGGGGGTGGCGGGGGGAGAGCGGGGTGATTTTTGTTGATAATTTGAGCCTTCAACGTCTCTTTTCTTGGTTGGCACAATTTTTATTTTTTGCTCTCTTTGGCTGCTGTGTAGCTCACTTATTTTTTTGGCTTCATAGCACCGTTTCCACCAAGCAGTACGTAAGATTCCCATTGTCAGAAAAGATTGTTGTTACAAAGATTTTTTTTTAATTATTATTTTTTGCGGATACCATCGGAACATCCGAGTTGTTTTCATCGACGACGACAAACGTACGTGATTCGCAGATAGACACCTATTTACTCGTTGCCTGTATCGTGTAAACTTTTAGACATGCGTTGCTTGATTATTATCACTGGCGTTACAGAACAGCAATTTTCTTTTTTTTTTTTTATAGATTAAACGTGATAGATTACTTGCGTATCGTGTCCATATTGAAGAAGCTGATGAAAAATTGTGGCGCTCTCCAGCATTGAAGGTGGCCATCTCGGCTCTAGTCACTGCCCACGGTCAGATTGAGTCATGTTTGAGTGAATGTCAAAAACGGAGGCGAATGCAGCATTTCACACCTGGTGCTCTTCCCTCCATATACAAAAGCAAAAGAAACCCAATTGTCCGGATACTTCATAGTTAAAAGGGGAAGTCAACCCCCAAATATTCTTGACAGCAATGTGTTTGTGGAATAAGTTAAGCGACAAAATCCACACGTTTTTGTTGTTGTTTTTTTAGCCATCCCAAGGGGTAAAAACGACCTCGCTCTTGCTCAGGTAACGTCCAATCAGGGGCTCACCTCTTTTCTGAAGCTGAGCCACGATCGGTCATTACCTGAGCAAATGGAATTTTCGACTTATTGATGCTAAAAATGTGACTAAAACCTTGGTGAATTTTCAGTGAGCAAAACTATCCCACATGGAGATGACTAAAACGTGACTTATAAGCACCCGAAAATTAAAATGGCTGCCACAAACACCACTGCAAACCATTCAGTTGGTCTCATTATATCTAACTATTAACGGAACTTTCCGAAAGTCATTCAAACGTCCATTCCGATTGAAAACTCAGGCCGAAGCGAACCTGCCGCTTGGTGGAAATGCAGCTCGTGGCATCATCAAGGGGAACTAAACGGGTGACTTGAGCGCACCCCCAGCTCACTTCCGCCTACCCTGGAAGCATCGCGACGGAACAACAAAGTTCAGCAAACGTGTTCACGCTTTCCTCTGCTTTGTGGCTGTGTCCGTTAAAGATAGGCAGGCATAGTTGTGTGCTCGACATGCAAGGATATAGAATATTGCGAAATACATGAAATACCTACACCGGCACTTCCTGTGTGGAGTTTGGATGCCATCCATCCATCCATTCATTCATTTTCTGGGCCGCCTATTCTTATTAGGTTCAAGGTGGAGCTGGAGACTATCCAGGAATGTGAATTTGGGCAGGAGGCTTGCAGGTTGCCACCATGTCACGGCGCATAAACACACACGCAGTCGTCAAATTGCATGCAAGACGTGGCAAGTCCAGTCAGCAAATGGGGCTGAGGAAGCCTTGCAAAAATTAACTTCATTCTTGCCCACTTCCTCTTTTTGTGGCAACTTCCTTAACAATCGCGCGATGGTTTTATGGTTGAATAAAAGTTAGAGGGTACACAATGCACTCCACGTGGAGCCTCAAAACCCGAAACGGGTCACAGTTTTGTTTTTTTTACAGAACGTGAGCATAATAGTTTTTCAGCATGCTGTCAAGATATCAATAAAAATAGTAATGCGCTTTCTGAAAACGACGTTTTTTTTCCCCTTCATGCTTGTGTAAATTCATCAAGGTCACGGCCATTTGCAAAAGTTGAATGGAGACAACTGCACTCGGTTGAAATTGTTGTGTTTGTTTGTCTGAAAACATTAAATGTGGCTATTAGGCGAACGATTTGCTTTTATTGTCCTGTTGACTAATCATTGACTTCGTAAAGATTTGCTTCAGTTGACTATTTATTGTGAAGATGATTTTTTTTTTTTTTGTCAACTCAAACTTTAGCCCAATGAAGCTCCAACTCTTTCTAATGAGGGCAAGTGGTATAGAAAATGGACGGATGGATTTGGATCCAGAGAAAATGGAAATCACCCTAGAAGGCGCACGAGGGGTTCCTGTTCAAAAATATTTCTCTTCTACTAAAGATATGCACACAGAGTTGAAGACAAATGCGTCTTTGTCAGGATGCGAGCCCGTTTAAAAGTTCACTCGCTCTGAATGAATTCGATTCCCAGTGTACAGTTTTGACCCGCGCCGGTCAGAGTCTGCAGGAATCCGTGGCGGTTCGCCGCCGACCCCGCTTCAACCCCGTGCGACCCACATAAAGCTCATGGAAGAGTGCCAAGGCAGAGGCAGAGGCAGAGGCGCGCTGCAACATGAGGTCACGGCGGGCTGCCAGAATGGCTGCCCATTGTCCGCTGCGCTTCAAAAGGGGAAAGAGAGGCTTCGCCGACCTCGGGTCTCGTGTGACGCCGCGCCACATGAAAGACTCTGGTGCCAAATGTCCTCAGCGAGATGTCGACTCCAGAAAAAAAGTCCAGGGATCCCGGCCGGCCCGGACGATGCAAGACGTGGCTCTTCCTCAGGACTGTTTCCTGAAGGTGAAAATATCCCGGGATTTGGCGCCTCTTGAGGGCGAGCAGGACGGCGCGGGCGAGGAGGGCAGCGGCGTGGACGTGCCCCCGTAAGGGCAGCACCGCGAGTCCGGGTGCTCGCCCGAACACTCCACGGCGGGAATGTAGCGGCTATCCCACATGCCCGGCCCGCACAGTTTACACAAGTCATGGAGGCTGCAAGGGATTCTGGGTAGGAGGCGGAATTGGTACAAGAGGCTGCGCGCCTGGAGGGAGGAAGGGGTGGAAACAAGATCAACCCGGAGAGCTTTGAAGCAGTGGATGCAAAGCAGCTTGTTGCGCATTTTCATAACACACGGCTTTTAATATAATCAATGACCTTGAGGTGAACAAATCTTCAAGGTCATTCTGCTCGTTGGCGATGGGGGAAAAAAAAAAAAACAGTGATTCAAATGGGAAATAAACAAGAGCAGAACATGGGCCGCATGCTAACGCGATGGCTGCTGCATCCATAAACATGAGGACGCAGGCGGCGGCACACTCGCTCCACATAAATCCTCGCTGCTCGCCCGCCGCACCACAACAAGGCCAGTAAACACGTCGCAGCCCGTGTGGGGCAGCTTGGGGAGCGCTGCGACAAAGTGCCACAACGCGACACTCCCTTCATGTCAAATGGCAACATTGAGGAAAACGGACTTGAAAACCATCCAGATGAGCAAATTGACTTGGAATTAGACAGACAGTGTTTTGGATGTTGCCACGGCAACCCCCGATCACCTATTTTAGTCGTCAGTGAGTCAGGACCGCCTTCAGTTTTTATTTTGGAGTTGACGCTAAGCTGATGATAGGCAAGCCAACGGCTATTCATGGATGGTGCCATCCCTTTTTTTTTTTTCCTCTTCAGTTGTCAATTTGATGCCACATCGCGGCCTCGCAGACAGTTGGAGCTTGGAAAATTCTCAACATCACAAATGCAGAGTCACACCCGGTGACAGTATATGTTAGTGGAATATAATTTTTAAAAAAATTCCACATGGTTGAATGCTTTGCAATACAGTGATCCCTCGCTATTTCGCGGTTCGTTTATCGTGGATTTTTTCAAACATTCATAAAAAAATAAAAATAAAAAAAATAAAAAAATAAAAAAAATCATGGAGTACAGTACTGCATATGTTGCTCTATGTGACTCGCTGTTGTGTTGCTGACTTTCGCAGCTTCTCGCGGACCGTTTGCGGACTTAAAAAAAAAAAAAGAAATTTAATATGTTATTTGGTCGCTACTTCGCGGATTTTCATTTATCGCGGGTGGTTTTGGTCCCCATTAACCGCGATAAACGAGGGATTTCTGTAATGTGCTTTAACTCTTTAATTCTGTAATGGTTACGTGGATTGTTACAGGAGTTCTTTAAGTTCCAGCTGTCTGGGAGACCATGAAAGCGTCTGGAACCATTGTTGAGACCATTTTCATTTCACGCAAATGAAGCGAAACGACAGCATTTGTATTTTGAATTCGGGAGTCATGTGTCAGTTGTTCTTAGAATAAAAGAGACCAAAAATGAGAGAGAGAGAGAGAGAGAGAGAGAGAGAGAGAGAGAGAGAGAGAGAGAAGAGAAAGAGAGAGAGAGAGAGAGGACGGAAAGTGATTATTTTGTAGTGGTCTCACAATTTTTCCAGAGCGGTTTATACTACAATTTAGTGAATGTCATAATAGCCTTATCTTAGGATGTAACATGCTACTAGAGCGGTTTATATGTATACTCAACTCAACTCAACTGTATTTATAGAGCACTTTTAAACAGCCATCAAACCTTGGTTTTTGAACATCTCTGTTCTCGACCAAATCGTTTTTTGACCAAAAAATTCGAGATTTTTATACCTCGGATTACGGCCGAAAACCTGTTTTCTCCCAAATTGAGCAAACCCGAATACGCCACTCGACTCCTCTCCGGCTTCCTTACTTCCTACACTTCCTCGTGTAGCGTTCATTGTGAGCAGACGTGTTTGTTGTGATTGACGCAAATCTGACTTTTTTATGTGATTTCTGGATCATGTATTAGCCCCTAATCATGAGCTAATAAAATTGTTTAGGATTTCGGAAAAAAAAAAAAAACGCTTTTCGAACAGCCTTCTGGAACGGATTCTGGTCAAAAACCGAGGTATGACTGTATGTATATATATGTATATACTGTATATATCAAAATAGATATCCCTCTTTTGCCTTTTAAGAATCCAAGACGGCAAGATAATGCAAGCAGTGCATCGGGGTGGACGCAAAATGGAAGGCGGCGTGTGTTTTTTGCGTCACCTTGCGTAGCACCAACTCTCCGTTCATGTGCATAGACAGGTTGCTGAAGTGCAGCAGCATTTGGTCGGTGGCCAGCTGCTGATCTGTCACATCCTCGCCGTACAGGACGATGATGGCCACGCACAGGAACAGGTGGAAGTAATCTGTCTGCAAAAGGGAGATTTGGGGCTCTTCATTTTTGGGCAACACTATTGTTCCTATTATATTCATACCATTTGTTATTTATTGCACTTGAGACCCGCAGCTAACAAAAAAAATGCATGAGGACATTGAATTGCTTTATGTAATGTCAGTGTTTAGTGTTCATTTTGCTAATTAATATTAAAATATTAAGATAAAAAAAAAAAGACCAAAAGCTGCAGATAAAATTATGAGTCACTATTTTCCACTTCTATCCATTTGTATTTTGAAAATATTTTAGAAATTATATTTTAAAAGAGGAGGCTCGTGGGCCAATGGTTAGCGCGTCAACCGCAAAGTGCAGCGGTCGAGTGTTCGATCCCGGCTCCGGCATTCCCGTTTGGAGTTTGCATGTTCTCCCCTGGCCTGGGTGGGTTTTCTCCCACATTCCAAAAACATGCATGTGAGGTTAATGGAACACTCTAAATTGTCTCTAGGTGCGAGTGTGAGCGCGGATGGTTGTTCGTCTCTGTGTGCCCTGCGATTGGCTGGCAACCGGTTCAGGGTGTCCCCCGCCTACTGCCCGAAGACGGACGGCTGGGATATGCTCCAGCACGCCCCGCGACAGGATAAAGCGGTTCAGAAAATGGATGGATGGATATTTTAAAAGAATCATTTGGTAATTCGCAATTTCATTTATTTAGTTAATCGAAATAGTTGTAAGTATCATACGAGTTTATCGAGCTATTATTTCTCCTGGTTGTACAGAATCATTAAAAATATATATATATAGGAACATGCAATCAGTGCTTAAAAAATTGTTTTCGAACATTTTCATTCATTTCAATTATGAATGACATATATATATATAAATACACATTGAAGTCCTTATATAGGTAAAAATATCGTGACGATTCCACTTCAACATTAAGATGTATAATAATGACATTTGAAGGGCATATTGTACTGTAGTCTGTGGTCAAGCTTTCAAGTAGACAGCTTGCACCCTCGGCTGACTCAAACAAATCATGCTGAAATACGGTGCCCCTAAACGTGTGTGTGTGTGTGTGTGTGTGTGTTTGTGTGTGCATGCACGTTTCTCCAGAGAGCGACAGCGACCTGGTAGTGAGCCCAGCAGGCCTCCCACATGCGCAGAGCGTCCGTGTCAGGGAACTCGCGCTTGAAGCAAAGGAGGATCCAGCGGTGGCAGAAGAGCAGCTGGAGGCCGTCCTCGCCCAGGGCTGTAAGGTGCTGGTGGAAATCAGGCAGCATGAGGCGCAGCAGCTCCCGCAGGTACATCTACGCACATATGCGCACACCTTACAGCCAGCTTCACATATTGGGGGCAGTGGGGGGGAGACACCTTTGCAATTTCAATCTACCAGCTGTCTCTCCATGTCGTCATCACGCGGCGAGCTGATGAAGATGGTGTTCTCCATGAGGCCCACAAAGCACCAGAAGGTGTTGCTTTCGTCTTGGATCTCGGTCAGGAGCGGGGCCACCAGGTCTGACATACCCTGGCAGTAGCCCATGTCCGGGTTAAACACGGCGTAGTTGAGCAGGATACGCCTAAAGGGGAAAGAACGAAATGTCAGCGAGTTTCTACACAGTACAGCATTTGTTTTCTTGCACAGAAAATATTACGTTTACACGTTTACTGTCAAGCACGTCTTTATCTGACAGTTAATGACTCAATGCAATTGTGCTGTATAACTGTAGGCTGCGTAACCTATCGCACAAACAGCAGAATTTCTTAATTACCCGTCAAATGTAATCAGGTCGCGAAGAAAATTGCTTATCACAAAACGATTGGCTCGTTTGGTGGCTTGAAGGCAAGTTTTCCCAAATGTGTCACATGCTAACCTGCTGTTGTTTTGAACTCGTGTTATAATTAACGATGGCGTCGAATGACGCTCCCTTTCCGACAGCTTCCGAAAATGCCGTGCAGACAGACTTTGACGTGCCTGTCGGCAGCGTAGCTAAAATAATTCCAGATGACACTGCATGCTTCATGCACCTATGCCAAAAAAGGCACCGCTCACTTTAAAAAAAAAGGGAAAAAAAGTGTCTAAACGTTACTGGTACTTATTAAAATAAACGTGGTATAGTATTTTCGCCAAGGGGGTGGGTGGCAATTTTTTGGTACACTATGCAACACTACTTTAGCCGTTTGTGCTATTGTTCAAATTTTGCAATTCTATTACTGCACGGAAAAAAGGGGTCTCAACAAGTCCTTTATCGGGACGTCAGCAGGTCTTGTGACATTTATTTTTTTTCCACAGACATGCAACATATGTTTTTGTGTTAATATCGACAAAGCACAGTTTCACTCTGCAAACTCCTTCCATGCTCCCTGTCTGTCAAGCATCTTCAAACGGTGAGATGTTTTCATTTATTTCCATTTCATTATAAAGAGATTGACCTTTCATTTTGGCAGTTAATGTGGGTGTTAAAAATGTTGCTTAAAACATTTCCTGTACCGTAAATAAATGACTGGGTTAACACTGATAGACACTGTTTCCTACGGGCTATTCGTCATTACATTACAACAACTTTGAAGTTAACCATCGGCAGGGAACTGCACTTTGGAGGTTCCGCATGAAAACATAAGCATGAAGCGGCACCGTGAAATTATAAACATGACTGCATCTTTTATGGACGTGCCCATGAGCACACTGCTGAGAAGCGCGGTCCCGCCCAGACGGACTGAACATTCGAACATCTGGTTCAGTGCAAAAGACAAACAAACAAAAAAAAAACCCACACACAACAACCCCTACTTGTAAGTGGTTGCCATGCCAACGCCTATGGTAACTAGGAACCTATTTAATGATCTTTCTCGTGGTGCGTGCGCCCAAGTGTGTGTGTTTTTTTTCTATGGATAGCACTTTAAAGTGTCTCTGGTAGCACTCATGCATAATTAAGCTGTCTCAAAAACAGAGAAGGAAAGCCTTGAGGACATTTTTGTTCATGTCACAATATGAAAGCGTGTCAAGAAAGGGGAAACGCAAACCAGCCTCAGAGAGGACTCTGGGGTGCAGCCTCTGCTGTGGGTTGGATGAGTAAAGATGCAATGATAAGCTTGGCAGCAATTTTGAGATTTTTTTTTTTTTTTATCTATTAGATTTCTGCACCGCAGATGAGCGAGACAACTGCAAAAATATGCAAGATAAGGAGGACCTCTGTTGAAATCCTCTTGTTCCTCGTTTGGATGTCCATTAGCTTTGCGCACGCGCAAGTTAAAGTGCCTTGCTTAGCCAAAGCCAATAAAGCATGAAACTCATTTGTGGCTCCCGAGAGGCTGCTGGGGGAGAGCACAGAGAGAAAGTCTCACCTCATGATCTCCACGTTGGGGTTGTTGTCGCCCCTGAAGAACTGGTTGCTGCGGTCTGTCCTCACCACGTCCTTGTCCACAGTGAACTGGACCTTCCTCCAGAAGTCGCTGTGCTCCTCGGGGCTCATGGACAACCTGGCGGGGGAACAACATACAATGTTTAAAAAAAAAAAAGAAAAAAGAAAAACCTCAAAGGTGAATTCTGAGTTGGTTTGAAATACATTAGACATGTTTGAGGATAATTGCTGAAAACGTCCTCAAATGTGGAGGGAGCCTGTTGGCGTGTCCACTGTGGAGTGCCTCGTTGTTGCGACATGGAAAAAAAAAACCCGCTGCGAGCTCCTGGGATTCAAGACTTTAAGCGGCGACATTTTCACGACTGGAACAGGGAATGAAAAAGAGAATGAAGTGGCATCCATTTTTCAGCTGTGTCAGCACATTTGGACACGCCCACAGCTTGGTTTCACAATTTGAAAGCTTATTTTATTTACTTTGTGATTTTTTTTCCTTATTTGGCAGGGTGGTTAACGTCACCCTTCTTTGTGGGATGTCAAATTTACAAGGCATTTATTTTCACTATGCAGAGACTCGAAAGGCTAATGTCGATGCGAAACTGTTGGAGGAACCGGCTATGAAATTCCCAAGCGTCCTCCTCGAGCACAACTATTTGCACTGCAGTGTAGTTTATGTTATGCACAAAGTGTACTCAAGTCCTAACATGCAAAAGGGATTTAATTAGCACTGTTTGTTTTGCACGTAGCCCCGCCAGGATTAATGAGCAGGCACCTGATGCAATGCCACGCAACCCTATTTATGGTCCATTTGTGTCGGCGGGCGCCTCCCCGCGACACCTTCCTCAATCATGTTTTGCTTCTTGAGCGCGATAACCGCAAAGCAGCAACGATCCAGCTAAATCTCTCTCTGCTTACATGAACACTCACTGGACAGTTCCTGAGGTGCACTGGAACTACGTAGCGAGAAAAACGAGAGCAGTCAAAAGAAATGTATGACCATCGATGACCGCTATGTATTTTTTATTGTGCTGCGCACAATATATTCTCATTACTGACATTGATGACTGGACATGTTTAATTTAGTACGATTAGTATGATCATCAATATTTTGCGTATCCACAGAATATTTTTCGAAGAATCCTTCATTTTTTTTTACCTTTGTGTATCAGCTCTATTGGCAAATGATTGCTAATTTATGGATTGATTCGACACATTCTTCATGTGCATCAGTTTTTGATGGCATTCAAACCGGAGAAATATTATTCCATCCATGGATTAATTATGTCATTGTATATGTGGCAAACGTGTTCATCTACTGTCCTGTACGACCCCCCCCCCCAACCACACACATCATTTTGCTATTTGTTCATTTAGCTTGGACATAATAATATCAAATGCGAGGGCTGGCTGTGTGCACTCTAGATTTTTATCCATTTTGAATCACACAATTTTTGGATTGAAGTGTTTCAGGAGTGCCTAAAGCTGCGGCCAGCCAGTGAAGTGTATTTAGAGCATGAAAATCTAATCATTTAGTTTCAGGACATGTCAAAGAGTGATGTACGGCAAGTACTTAGTCAAAGTGTGAGGAATTGAAAACATTGCTGACATACTTCGACTAACTCGATTCCATCTGATTTTCTCTTCTGGATGAGAACACAAGCAACATTCTTTATTGCCGCGTTCATCACCTTCTCGTGATTGACTGCTTCACTTGGCTGGGAGTCACTTTTTGGGGAAAGGGGCCCTCGAACAGCTGCTATGTTTCCGCGCTCGGCCGCTCGGCTTTCACAGGCGAGAAGGGCGAAGCTGAGGAGCCGTGAGAGAGGCGAAGAGACATGGATCCTTCCCGCTAATGACCGACGAGAGGCCCTGTGGGCTTGCTCTTGACAAACAGCCCTTTAAAAAAAAAAAGGACTCCCCTTACGAGTCCGAACAAAAAGCGCTTTAATTATATTGATGGGACAATACGACATTTTAATAAGCCTCGCAGATCAAACCTAGCCAATTATCAGCCTCTTTATGGTCATGTGGAATTATGTGTGTGCTCAGCCTGGGTGGAGTAGAAGTGCTCTTGTTTGTTTGTGTGTGTGTGTGTGTGTGTGTGTGTGTGCGTGTGTGTGTGTTCATGCATGCCACAGCTGTTTTTTTTTTTTAACTCTTACCGACAGAAGAATATGATCCGATAAGCGCTGACATGTTTTTTCTCCAGAGACCTTTTATTTCGAACCCACCGCCTCCCCTTAACATTTCTCTTATTGTTCCTATTGATTGCTCAGCGCTTGCGATGAGATGCCACAACGCATTCACACATGGTTTAATGTTTGGCTGAGTGTGCATTTGGCAGCCAAAAACATGGCCAAGTGACAGCGGAGAAGCCAAGTGCCGTGATTACCGTAAACTAAATCTGGCTGCGGCGCTGGCGAATTGACGAACAAGCACGACATTTTCACCTCCTCTGCTGGACGTCGTGGTAGTGCGTCCGCTTTTGTAGCCTCCACGCCTCCCTTTCCTGCGAGGTCGAGTCATAGCTGTAGTAGTGCAAGAGGAAGGGCCACACCTCGCCACGGATGGATGGGTCGATACCCCCGAAGAATATGGCCTGGTGTAACACAGTGAGCACAAAGAGTTGGTTGTCAAAGTCTGAGGGCATCATGGGTAATGTATAGCAGCAGAGCAGAGTCAAGCCCTCGTCATCTGCACTTGCAAATCTCCGAATCAGGAAAAAAAAGATTCAATACCAAAATACTATTAATTTCTTAATAAAAAAAAAAAGTCTAACGCTGGTCTTTTTCCAGCCTGCCATTAGGTCACGCTGATATAAAAACCTTTCAATAATTTGAAAACTATGAGTTAAACAACACACAGTCAGTTTACGAAGTGAATCATGCTGGGAAGCTCCACCATGCGTTCATTAAATGCTAACATTAGCTAAAAAGGTCTACCCTGTCAGCAAGCTCAAACACTGTATTTGGCTGTTTGCGTGCACATTGTTTGTTTGCAGTTAATTTATGAAAAGGTGTGGGAGCTTTACCGATAGACATTTTCAACAAAATTACATCCAGCTAAAACAATGAAAAACAAGCACAATGGGAAATTTCGACTTTTTGGGGAAGTCTCAAAGGAAGTGTATATGGTAAAACCGCCTCCGTACTGTGCGTTAGGTACCACAGGCGGTCCACATGACTCAATTTTATACCCCAAGTAAAGTCTTAATGACGGTAAATATTGGTATGAGAAACACTGCTGTGTCTACAGTAAGCAAGGTGGTCTGACAGAGCCGAGCTTTTCTTGTGCCGCTGTCTTTTTACACTTGGATGACTGACCGTTAAGAATGTTAGCAACTAAAACGCCTGGAGTCCAAAACACTTTTATTTGATTTCACTGAATCACTGGCATAGTTTTGCACTTGTTCAGCAATAAATTTAATCATCAGGATTTAGTGGTTACCTCACCACACGTTAGAGACAGTTAAGAATGTTAACATGTCTGCTGGTAGCCTGCATAAAGTCTCCATAACGGTGACATTTTTTGACTCTGGCTCAGCTGGGTTCGTCTCCAGATCAACAGCGACCCTAGTGGGGATAAGCAGTACAGTAAATGGATGGATGGAAGGAAAAGGTCATTTTCTTGAGGTTCCACTATATCTGTCACATCGTTTCCATCCAAACTGAGCTTTAACATCTTGATGAAGGCAAAAAAATTAACATACAGCTCTTGTAGAAGGATCTCATTCGATGCGCGTAGTTGGTACAAAGTCATTTGCAAAGTAATTGTGAAACCTGCGCCTAAGCGCCGACAAAAAAGCTTATGTATTCTCGTTTGCAGAGAGAGACAAAAAAAAAAGTCATGTAATCACTGCTGAGTCATTGCAGTAAATACTAAACGTTCAAGTGAGTCAATCCCAGAGGGCTCAAATGACGCACAGTGTCACTCGCCATGAGACTCTCTCTCACTCTCTATCACACACACACACACACACACACACGCACACACACACACACACACACACACACACACACACACACACACTCACACACACACGCGTAATACACACACATAATGTAACTATGGACACATTCCAGTGCTGTATGCACATCAAGAGCTACTGTAAAAACCATCGTGTGAATTTGACAATGATTTTAAACCTTGGATATGTCTTGGATAAAAAGAATCCTGCAATCCCCCTTAAAGTCATTGAGACGGGCCAGCAGGGGGAGCTTGTGAGAGAATGGCTTCCCTCCATTTATTGCCCTCGTAACATTTCTCACATTTTGTTGTTTTACAGTCACATTAAGGAGGTTACGAGTAGGACAGGCTTTATGGTAGGGCTACTTTGTGACTGACAAGCTGCTTACATGAATGATGGGATCCTTCCATCACAGCCCAAGGTCAAGACCGGCTTTTATGGAACGAGATTCCATCAAGATACACACGCGCGCGCGCGCGCGCACACACACACACACACACACACACACACACACACACACACACACACACACACACAGGCCCACCTTGCGCAGCTTATACTCCTCCTCCACCTGGCCGCTTTGATTGAGGTGTCGTAACCAAGTGGTGACATCCAGCCTGCGGTAGAGCTTCTCCTCGGGGTGGCTCTCGGCCGACGGCAGCGTGGACCTCTGGATGGAGAATTGCATGCAGGACTTCTCATCTGACACCTGGCGTGCACACAGACGAGTAGGGAATGATGGGAAAAGGACTGAAAGAGCGAAAAAAGCATCAGAATGAAGAGGGGAAAAGATGACAAAAACACAACAAAAAAATGGAATATGTTGACTTGATTTCAAGTGAACCTTTAGTGGAACTTCTCATTCTTAGATTTTGATGTGGGTTTGGCTGCTCTCTCTCAATTTAAAAGGTGCCCATAAAACATACCGTATTTTTCGGATTATACATCGCTCCCGATTATAAATCGCGCCAGCCAAAAAAAATGCATAATTAAGAAGGAAAAAACATATATAAGTCGCGCTGGAGTATAAGTCGCATTTTTGGGGGAAATTTATTTGATAATATCCAACACCAAAAACAGACATGTCATCTTGAAAGGCAATTTAAAATAAAAAATAAAACAGAGAACAACAGGCTGAATAAGTGTACGGTATACTAACGTTACATGACTGACATGCCTGGTAATGTCAGTAACGACGTAACATATTAAGAGTTATTCAGATAACTCTAGCATAAAGAACATGCTAACAAGTTTACCAAACTATCAGTTTCACTCCAAATCACTAAATCCAATGAAATCTTCATTCTCGGTGTCACTTTTAAACAACTCCCCCAACTCGGGAGGTAGACGATTGCCGCTTCCTCTTCTACGTCGCTTACGTCAGAATCAGCGTCGATTTATCAACACAGGCCGAGAGCGCCCACTTGTGGTTTAATGTGAAAATAACGTGAAATGACATAATCGTGTTAATAAATTCACACATACATCGCGCCAGAGTATAAGTCGCACCCCCGGCCAAACTATGAAAAAAACTGCGACTTATAGTCCGGAAAATACGCTAACTAATGTTAGCTTTGCCGCTTACCTTTGCCAAGGAGATATGCTCTCATTTAAGGGAGCTCTAATCCTGCCCTCCAACACTCAATGGCAAAAGGCTGTTTTCCCGAAGTCATATAAGGTCAGCCGCAGACCAAGCGACACAGCTCGACGCGGGCAATCGCAAAAATATTTCACTCAGCGACTCATTCACACACCGGGTGACGGGCCCTGGCACACATCACTCGCTGCATCTTGCTTCTTATCTGGAAACGACATTTTGAGGCGCCATATATTGTATTGAGCCACAAAAAAAAAAACATGGCACAAAGCGGTAAAGCGGATTTCCTTGGTCGCTGTCGCATTATATTACAAGAATACAAAGAGAGGAAATGGGCAACACGAAAGGAGAGCGTGTGGACATTTCAATGGCTGTTATGTGCGTCAGGGATAATCCCATTCATTGACTGTACTCGTGAATTTCCTGACAGAGACTCTCCATGCTTTGCTTTTATCGTCATAGTCCCCTACTTTGCATACCTCAGCGATGGGCAACTGGCAGCGCAGTTTTTTAAAAATCTCTGTGTTTTTTCGTGGAAAATGCATGTTGGCGGTTTATCAGATCAATTTTTGGGGTTTAAAAAAAATATACATTATCGTGTATATAAACGAAACTGAATCATGGATGTCATGAGAAGATGAGCTGGTATAAGATTCTGGATTCATTTCACAGGTGACCCCTGTTGAAATAGTTGTGAGTTTAGCGAGGTCTTATTTTAATATTCATCTCCAGATGGTGGTCTTTATTTCTCTTTTTCGCATTTTGTTTGGTGAATTTAGTGGACTTTCCCCACCTGGTCTTTACTCTGCGTCTCCCTGCAGCACTTCCACTGCTGGAAAACCTCCGCCAGCTTGTCCAGGCCAGCGTGGTGAAAGTGGAGAATCTTGTACTGGCTCTCTCGGCTGGCTATCACCAGCTGGCCGCTGGTGCACGCTTCGTCACTGCGAGGGTGCGATGAGGAAATTAGAGTGCCGTTGAAAAATTCCTATTGGACTCATACTTTCCCCTCAACAAACCTGAAGAACAGACGCAGTGACCTCATGTGACCCAGGTCCACCCGGAACACGCCGCACAGCTGTTCCAGAGCCAGCACCTTCTGCTGCTCCTCCCACCGAGCGCCCTGAGACTGGCCGTTGCTCTCCAGGCTGGAGGCGGAGCTCACCGAGTGGTGCATGAGCTCCTCGGACAGCTCCCTGGGCAGAAAAAAAATTAAAATAAATAAATAAAATCTACATTCAGCCATTTTATGGGGCGAAATGAATATGCCAGTGCACGGCTGGAATGATTTTGTTCCAGGTGCTCCAATACTTTTATACACAAAGCAAAAACAAATCAGAATGTCTTTCATTCATCTGCCATTCCCCTGTGGCAACCTTGTGGTTCCCAGCTTTGAAACATGAGTGCAAACTTTTTCTCTTGTGGGCGTGCACACACGCAAGCCCGAAAAAAGGTGGCATGTCAAAGGTTGCACAGGGATAAGAAGACAAGAGCACTCACACTCGCATCGAAGGCTCCATGAAAAGCGGGCATCAATGGCTGAGTTGTTGAATTGTAAGATTTAGCAGCTGCTATTATCCTCTCTGTCCAACACACATACACACACACGCTAATGAAGCATAGCGAATGACCATGATGCTCTCCCATACACGTCTCCTGACGTGTGAGTGGTGAGAACCAGAGCGAAACGCTGACAAGTGTCCAAAGCCGCTGATATTCAAATACTAAGTCACAGTTTATTCCAAAACAATCTCCAAACTCATTGTTTTCTTACGCGTACTTATTTTGTTTTGGGCAATATTATCTTGCGTAACACATTCACTGCCAAGTTTGCAAGAATGCGCACAAATGAAAAACATGCTCGGAGGAAAATGACACAAGAGCGACCGAACGAAAACTTCTTCAAGATGATCGATGGCGGCAAGCGATATCTGACATCCTGAATCTATTCTTGTCTCATTAAACATTTCCTGCCATGAGCACATGGAAACAGACGCAGACTTTCGTCTCATGCGTCGCATCACTCACGAATCAAACTACAGTGTGGAACTTCCAAAAATCAAGCCTTGTCTGTGAAGTGACGTTGGTTTCCATCTTTTTTTTTTTTTTTTTTTTTGGCACAGGCCATAACAAAGTTAATCAATTCATTCTGAGCTCACAATGTCACCATTCTCAAACTTTATAACTTTTACAGATCCACTAGGCCAGGGGTCGGCAACCCAAAATGTTGAAAGAGCCATATAGGACAAAAAAAAAAAACAAAAACCAAATATGTCTGGAGCCGCAAAAAAATAAAAGCCTTCTATAAAACTTACAATGAAGGAAACGCATGCTGTATGTATGTAAGAGACTGGACTGTCTCATAATTCGTTGTTATTCATTCCTTTTGTTGTGTGTTCACAAACGCCCCTATAGAATTTATTTTGTGATTTCCTCGCTTGATTTTTTTTTTTGTTTTGGTGCATTATTTTCGCTTTTCTTAATGTCAGTGAAGTCATCATCAATTTCCGTTTTTCCGAGGCTGTCTTAGAACGCCTCTCGAGTCGAACGAGAAGAGAGAAGGCACGGAGTCGGACGCAGACGTGTCTGTGTTTGTCGAGACTGTTAAAAGCATAAATAAAGTGTACGTTTCAAAAAACCAACACCACAGCTCTCCTTCTTCAGAGCTGCAAGATGTATCTATATCTATTTGAGCTATATTAGCCTACCATCAAAATATTTTTCCATTTTCAAACATTTTTTTAATAAAGCTCCAGGGAGCCACTAGATGTCGCTAAAGATCCGCATGTGGCTCTGGAGCCGCGTGTTGCCGACCCCCGCACTCGGCACACAGTCACTGTCTCGCCCAAGAGAGCGTCTTCTCGACAGGGTGACAAGGTGATGTAAACAAGCTGTTTTGAAGCAGGCGGCTACAACCTGCGCATCCCCGCGGTCCAAGAGCTGGCCGAGCACTCCAAGCCCCGCGGGGACTACTTCAGCAAACGGCCGCAGTGAGCAGAAGGATTAGCGCAATGCTAAGTGTTCAATAAACAAAAAAGGAAGGATAAACCCCAGAAGCACGACGACGTGCAACTCTGCAAATACGAAAACAGGAAGGTGGTTTTATAGAACTTAATCCGCTTCTTGGGATCGGTTAGTTTCATTGCTATTGAATTTGGTGTCGAAGAATCCTACTCAAAATTAAACAATCATGCAGCATGATGTCACGTGATGCCTGGTTCGTTTGAGGTCTGACTGGCAGCAGACAGTTGTTACAAGTGTCAAGAAACTCCTTGAAAAGCTCGGCTGTGGATTCTTCTCCTTGGTCTCCCTCCCAGCGCTCTCGTCTTTCTTCCCCCGACCTCCCGCCCGCTTTCATCCAATCTTGCTCTCCCATAGGCAGCCCTTTTCTCTTTGAATGATTCCAAGTGACATGTTTCCAGTTCCTGGCCCCCTTAAGAGTGTCTATTAAAGCGAGGGAGAGAGAAAGGGAGATTGAGAGAGTTCCAGGGTTTTGGCCGGCTCTCTCTTTCCTCCCCTAATCCGGCGAGCTGACATTCAGCCCAGCACAACAACTCCTGGCGCGCTGGAAATCAAAGGGCTTCACACAGACTCTCGGAAGGGAAGGAGGGCGGGGAGGGATATATGAGAGGTGGGCAACACTTGAGTAGGGGGAAAGAAAAAAAAAAACATATTGAGAATGGGCAAGTAGAGAGGAAAAGATGTAACACTAAAAAACAAGGGTGGAACAAATATGGGAAAAGACGAATCCCAGAGCGGAAGGAAAATGTGCATACACACACACACACACACACACACACACACACACACACACACACACACACACACACACACACACACACACACACACACACGCGCGCACACACACACACACACACACACACACACACAAAATGGACAGAGAAGGGAGAGAGAAAGAGCAGCAGGAGAAGGTGAGGGAAGCACACAGTAAATGTTAGAGGCCGAGATCGTTGCCAAGTCACACACTGGCTGCACTTAGAGCAGGCAGGCTCAGGCCGAGAGAGGTTAAAAAGGCTTCTCACACACACACACACACACACACACACACGCACACACACACACACACACACACACACACACACACACACACACTGGACACGCTCAAGAGGGCAAACCGCTGGTGTGTGAGGGGAAACATTCAATGACGATAATGACTCCCAGATAAACCCATAATGAGTAAACTTGCACTGCTGATTGCGTGTCATGCCACCTGGTGACGTCATGTATCTGCAGTCCCCGTTGAAAGACAGAGAAGTGAGCCGCCAACTGAACGGAAGCGATATTGCACCCTGGGGAGGGCGCTTGAATCATTTTTGTTCTGGCTCCACTTTGTGGCAAGATGGAGTAACTGTCACTTACCCATTGCCAAGTGGAGTCAAATTTGGTTTGATGAAATGTTTAGCTTTTGGCAAAAAGTATCAGGAGACTTGATTTAAAAAAGTCTTTCCCATCTGACATTTGGGCAAGCAGGAGAGTACACCCAGATCTGGTTCCAATACAATTTCAAGGCACAAAGACAAACAACCAAGCATGCATTTGAACAATTTACAGGTTTCAATGAACCTGTCCTAACATAATTGAACCATTTTGAGGATGTACGTTCCCATTCTAAAGCGAACTGGAAACCTCTAGCATAAACTTAGAACAGCGTAGGGAACCTAAGGCCCGTGGGCCGTAGACGAGCCGCAAGAGCATTTAATCTGGCCTGCCACGTAATGCTAAAAATCAAATAAAACCTCAACCGAAAATGCCCCCCAAAAACATTAAACCCACAAACGCTCACTACAGAATTCGTATGACTGTTGCATTATACGAGTACTAGCCCAGAAATTTTCTGTGGCCTCATGAGGACAGCCCGAGTATGAATCTTTTATTTTTTTTTTTATAATACAATACATATGCTCAAAAAAAACCCAACAACAATTGTGTTTAAGCGCAAGAATTCATAAAAGTAATTCAATATCATTCATACCAATTTCTTTTTATGGAAACAAATGCTACAGTCGTGACAAAGAACTCACTCGCTACACATAATGGAACATTTCATATTAAGAGTGCCGACTTTGTAATTTAAATTTTGTGTAGCTCTCTAAAATACAGCAGGAAGAAAAATATTGCACACAGCCCTTTTGCTACATGCTACATTGCCGTTTTGCTCTTTTTACTTGTGCATCTTAGATACGTTACATGTCAAGCACTGGCTTTTTTTTTTTTTTTAAACAATGGGATGGCAGATGATTATCTTCATACATATAATAGATCAAGCATCTCAATCCACTGACCTGCTGTCATTGTCCAAGAAGACGGAGCTGCTGCTCTCACAGAGCGCCTCGCTGACTGGGGACAAGCAGAATGGCGAGGAGAAGGTGTCCGAGTCAGACCCCATGGTGCTGTCGCGGCTCACTTCGTCCGACAGCTCGCAGGAGACCTCGTCGCCTTCCTCAGCGGGTGTGGGAGGCTGCTTGGGTTGTGCCGAGGGGGGCTCCGTGCCGGCCTCTGTTACGACCAAACCGTGGCTCTCTGTGGAGGAGCTGCAAGTGATGTTCCGCTCCTCGTCCTCTTCTTCCACTTGCGCGGCTGGGGGGCGGGAATGCGGACTGGGGGTGGGGGAGAGAATATGCTGATGCTTCCTTTATTAGGTACTCAATCGAATGGGTATGACAACTTTCCCCCTTTACAAATGGAACACTGCCTAGTGCGCTCTCTTACAAATAGACAGTTCTTAAAGCTTTTATAGCTTCGAATAGAGATTTAGTTGCTCCCAAGGGTGCCGTTTCGATTATCGTTTCATGATTGCCGGGAGCAAGAATGGCAGCTGACTCCTGACGCTCCTTACCGTCTGCCTCTGCGGCGTGCGTGTCGACGCACGGGCGAGCTCTCGGGCGTGATGTAGCGCAGCGCCTCTTCGTCCTGCCTCTGGATGCGCGAGTTGGGCACCCAAGTCAAAATGAGAGTGGTGCCCAGGCTCTCGTCCTTCTCCACGTGCACGCACAGGTAGCCTGCAGGGGGCGGTGTCGGACAGATAATGGTGAACACATAGAGGGGAGGCACAAAATTGAAATAGGACAATCACAACAGGGAAGAGTACAGCGGATGTGTTCTGGGAACTGTGCAGCGATTTAGTCCGATTTTAAAAAACAGAAATCCATGCATTCTTTAGAGCAGTGGTTCTTAATTTGGGTTCGATCGAACCCCAGGGGTTCGGTGAGTCGGTCTCAGAGGTTCGACGGAGCCTCTGCCACTGAGGGTAAGACACACCCTACTCAACATGTTAATTAGTTATGACACGCCCGCTTGGCCATCACTGGCTGTAGATGATCACATGACAATGCTTATCCAATCAGTGCTGTGGGAAATTTAGTTCGCTTAGTAGTCAACGTGGGATTGTCGCGATAGTACGTTGTAAAAAAAAAAAAAAAAAAAAGTATACTTAACTCTTGAAATTGTATTTACTTTTTTATGTTTTTAATAAATGCGTTTTTCTTGAATTTGTCAAAAATATATCGATAGATATTTATTTTTCACTCATGAAGGGTTTGGCAAATGTGCATATTAACTGGTTGGGTTCGGTACCTCTAAAAAAGTTAAGAAGCATTGTTCAAGAGCATTGAGCCCTCCCAGCTGACTCTAGGTAAGAGGCAGGGGTCATCATGAAATGGTTGCCAGGTGAAACAATTTACAGCAGTCAATGAACTTAATTGCATGTTTCGGGAATGAGGGAGGAAGCAGGAGTACATGGGGAATATTCAAACCCCACGCTGGAAGACCAGAGCAGAGATTTTAACCCAGAGCCTGAGAAATGTCAGACATACGAGCGAACTACGAGTTGTTCACAGTGCTGTCCTACAAAACCATTCAAACCCAATAGTGGAATATGAAGTAAACAGTGTTTACTATTGTGGACAGCTTATCATATTATCAGGTTATCATTATTGGTGCATGAAAGGGTTAAAACACAGTTAAGTGAGTCTAATAACAAGGGTGAATGATGGTGTGACACCCTGTTTTGTAATCAATCAGTTGAAAAATGTATTTCCCTAAAATGATGCATAGCAGCTAGCAGCTTAGTGGTTGACCCCATTATCGGGATTTCAGTCTCACCACTTTTGTGGTATTGTGTAAACTTCCCCAAAATGTTTGGCCGCTCCATTGAATGTGCTGAGCTGAGGTGAGGTGAGCGTAATCACGCAAAAGGGTGCAAACCAACCTGGGTGGTGCTCCGCCAGGCCCGGCAGCGGCTCGGCCGGGTGCACGCACACATTATTTTTGGAGTAAATGATCTCGCCATCTAGGCCCGAGCGCAGCGCCACGCCCGCCGCGCCGGGGTTGAACGTCAAAAGGTCAGAGGCCTTGGACGAGGCGCGTCGCAGTAGCCGACCCAGAGACATCTCCTCAGAAAGCGGGACGCGGGGCCCATCTTCTGTGGAGCAGGGGAGAAAAAGAGAGGACATAGACTGTTATTTTTATGACACTACCAAACGTCAGCCTCACTCTTTCTTGTCCTACTTGTTCATTTTGCCTCCAGTGTCGGAGTAACTGTTGCTTGTCCCCACCTTGAGTAAACACGACACGCACGTAACCACCACACGTGCGTATTCACAACCCCCTGAGCAACAGCACGTCTCCACCGGTGTGGCAAACCAAACGCGTATCAGCAGACAACAGATGTCACTTGGCTCGGCTCGGCATGTGCGGAAAACAGCTGACTCTTCATTCCTCATCCTCGAGCGAAACTGCAAGCAACGAACTGGCTTCCCTCTTCTCCAGTTTACACACTCATGTTCTTTCTCAGGACTCTTTGTCCAAATGTTTGCGCATCGCCGTCAGCTGAATTTGCCAACATGTACTTCCTTCATCCAAGGAATGTTCTCCTCAAAAAAAAAAAAAAAAAAAGTATACTTAACTCTTGAAATTGTATTTACTTTTTTATGTTTTTAATAAATGCGTTTTTCTTGAATTTGTCAAAAATATATCGATAGATATTTATTTTTCACTCATGAAGGGTTTGGCAAATGTGCATATTAACTGGTTGGGTTCGGTACCTCTAAAAAAGTTAAGAAGCATTGTTCAAGAGCATTGAGCCCTCCCAGCTGACTCTAGGTAAGAGGCAGGGGTCATCATGAAATGGTTGCCAGGTGAAACAATTTACAGCAGTCAATGAACTTAATTGCATGTTTCGGGAATGAGGGAGGAAGCAGGAGTACATGGGGAATATTCAAACCCCACGCTGGAAGACCAGAGCAGAGATTTTAACCCAGAGCCTGAGAAATGTCAGACATACGAGCGAACTACGAGTTGTTCACAGTGCTGTCCTACAAAACCATTCAAACCCAATAGTGGAATATGAAGTAAACAGTGTTTACTATTGTGGACAGCTTATCATATTATCAGGTTATCATTATTGGTGCATGAAAGGGTTAAAACACAGTTAAGTGAGTCTAATAACAAGGGTGAATGATGGTGTGACACCCTGTTTTGTAATCAATCAGTTGAAAAATGTATTTCCCTAAAATGATGCATAGCAGCTAGCAGCTTAGTGGTTGACCCCATTATCGGGATTTCAGTCTCACCACTTTTGTGGTATTGTGTAAACTTCCCCAAAATGTTTGGCCGCTCCATTGAATGTGCTGAGCTGAGGTGAGGTGAGCGTAATCACGCAAAAGGGTGCAAACCAACCTGGGTGGTGCTCCGCCAGGCCCGGCAGCGGCTCGGCCGGGTGCACGCACACATTATTTTTGGAGTAAATGATCTCGCCATCTAGGCCCGAGCGCAGCGCCACGCCCGCCGCGCCGGGGTTGAACGTCAAAAGGTCAGAGGCCTTGGACGAGGCGCGTCGCAGTAGCCGACCCAGAGACATCTCCTCAGAAAGCGGGACGCGGGGCCCATCTTCTGTGGAGCAGGGGAGAAAAAGAGAGGACATAGACTGTTATTTTTATGACACTACCAAACGTCAGCCTCACTCTTTCTTGTCCTACTTGTTCATTTTGCCTCCAGTGTCGGAGTAACTGTTGCTTGTCCCCACCTTGAGTAAACACGACACGCACGTAACCACCACACGTGCGTATTCACAACCCCCTGAGCAACAGCACGTCTCCACCGGTGTGGCAAACCAAACGCGTATCAGCAGACAACAGATGTCACTTGGCTCGGCTCGGCATGTGCGGAAAACAGCTGACTCTTCATTCCTCATCCTCGAGCGAAACTGCAAGCAACGAACTGGCTTCCCTCTTCTCCAGTTTACACACTCATGTTCTTTCTCAGGACTCTTTGTCCAAATGTTTGCGCATCGCCGTCAGCTGAATTTGCCAACATGTACTTCCTTCATCCAAGGAATGTTCTCCTCTTCCTCCCCCTCACTCAATCAGTATGTTTACCGCCGCCTTGCTGAATGAGCAAGCACCCCACTTCCTGAGGCCAGTCTCTAGATGGGAAATGGCCCGGCAGGAAGGTTCAGGCATGACTGAGGAGGGGAGAAGCACTGTTTGATTTGTGCGAGTCGTGAAGTCATCTCATTGAACAGGATTCTTCCTTAGAACAGCTTATGACTGCCAGGAAACTTACAAATCTAATAGACTGAAAAAAAAAAAAGAAAAAAAAAACAACCCGTTTGATGCTACAATGTTGCAGAAACGTGTCAGGTAGAGCACTGGATAAGATAATATTTTTTTTAAACAACAGTTTTGACAGATTGTCTTCAATGAATTATAACCTGGACGGAAGAGGAGATGAACTTGGAATGACCTCTGACACGTCACACTGCCGTCTACCATGGCACCAGGACAATATCATGTCACTCAATCTGTCTGCTTACCACACAGTCGGCTTTCTTTTTACAAAGCTCGTCTTTGTTCGATGCCCACAATTACAGGGCAGAATGGCCCTGAGGTTTGCAACTCTACTGGTCTTTCTTTTTTTTCTCAAAACGTGTCAGCAAATCTGTTGAGGAAAATAAAAAAATACCATATTGGCCCGAGTATAAGACGGCCCTGATTATAAGACGACCCCCTCTTTTTCAAGACTCAAGTTCGAAAAAAGACTTTTTGAACACCAAATAATTTTTTATACAGAAAATAATCACAGCACATCTGAAACAAATGATTATAACAATATATTTGAGAGAAAAAGCATGTTATTTTGCCTCATTCAAATCTTAATATCTGAACATTTAAATATGTAAACCAAAGTGCAATCACATTCGTAAATGAATGGCTTCTGGTTTTTGAAATGTAAATGACATCATAACTTCTCCTCAGCTGCCGGTTAACCTGGCCCATCTTCGACCCACTTTTCTCCAGATTGTTGCTACGTTTTTTCATTTTCTGTTATCTCTTCTATTATTTAATTATTATTATTCTATTCTTTCTTACCGCTATTTTTTATTTTTCTTCTTCGTGACAGGGTTCACTTTGGCCTGGGGAGTCAGGTTCAGCATTCGCTTCAATGATATCTGGCGCCATCTAGCGTCATGAATAAATTTACAGTTTCTATTTGTTTTTTTACAGTGTAAATTGTATAGCGGAAAATTGTGAATGATCACAACCATAGAAATGAGTACTAGCGTCTCTACCACAGCTGTGCTTTTTTTGTTGCGTTTGAATCATTGATTTCTAAGATACGAGCAACACCAAAGTATTTGTAAAACAGAATTGCATTGTGTTTGATTAAGCTTACGGAAATTAAGATGTGTTCGTAAAATCTATGTATGTGTTAAATGAGCATAATTCTCTTTATAGAGTGTTTAGTATGACAGCAAACAAAGTAGACTGTCACCTTTAAGCACATTTACACATGAATTATTTTTGAAGACCGGTTTGCTATATGCCAAACTGCACACGGACGCTCAAGGAGGCCCGAATGGAGAAATATAGCGTGGACCGTATATGACAAACTGAGATTGGCTTTCATAATATTGTAGAGGTTCACATATCCGAGTACAAGTACAGACGCACAGTACCAGCACCAGTACCGATATCGGTGAATCTCTAATTTGTTCAGTGAACAAAAGGATTCATGATGGTGACAATGGAAACGACTTGTTTTTTCGCTAAGCTCGGCGGTTTCACTGTAATGTAGCGTTGTAACATGAATGGAAATGACAAGCTCAATACTGAGCATGTGCATTACAGTAACATAAGACTGATTCTAGAGCTGCTGTATTGTATCACTTTAGATTGAAGAGGCCCCCCAACTGTGACATATTCCTTCCTGCTCTATTATCTTGTGGTTATTTCGGTCTACGGGGATATTATGGTCCACTCAGGTCAGTTGGACGGACTGACTGTTGGTTTAGCCATGGTACACTGCACTGTAGTTTGAACCCGAGGAATAATTTGTTACTCCGTAAATGTAACTTCTAAATTGGAATTGGACACCAAAAGCAAGTAATGAACACAAGGTCACAAAAAGGTTTTCAAGTTTCTTACCTCAAGCATTTTACTTGTCACGCTGACATATGGATTTGAAAAGAGACAATAAAAGGACATCCTGGTTGACAAAGAAGCCAGAAAAGCATGTTTTAGGTGGGTGTGTTTTTTCATGACACCTGGCAGGTGACTCATCTGTTGGACAGGAAAAGTTTATCTGTTCCTAATACACTTAAAACAGTCATATATTATCTTTCCCATTTGAAAAACAAACAAACAAACAAACAAACAAAAAAGAAAAAACCCGGCAATGCCATTAGGTATGTGCATCTTGGTCACCAGGTCGCAGTATAACACAGGCATACGTTGTCAAGACAAAAAGAAAACTGGGTAACTGTTCAGTAAGCTGCAGTCACATTCACTGTTTATCGCAGAGAATACATGAATGTGAGTTTTGTTATATTGTCTTTCTACATGTATTGCTGGACCGTTTGTGTTCATATATACATTGCTTAAAGTTTGCAACAATGCCACATAGATGCTACTTTTGTTTGTGGGGCACATTCTGAATAGCATAGGAATTCTGTTTCGGAACTCAAGATGGAGTTTGTTTTGGGTTTTTTTTGTTTTTTGGGGGGGTTTTGGTGATTTTTCCAAAGTCAAAACAAATATCTAGTTGCTGATTTTGGATGATGTCTGACAAGATAACTCATGCATGTCAAACGTCTAATTTTAACAAACCATCCTCAAACATTGAGAAATAATCTGCCAGGTCAAAACAAACACCCTGCTGATTTTAAATGACAAGAGAGGCTGCGGTAGCTGTGGTCAAATGATTAACTACTTCTAATTAATTGACCAGTCACCCTTTAAGCCAAACTTTATTTTATTTATTTTTTTTACTTTCATGTGAATGCAGCCACCCTATTGAGTTTGATTGGGATCCGAGACAATATGGCTTAAGTTGCGGAGGTCAGAGTTGGAATCATTAGAAATATTTGCATTCAGAACTCTACAAGCTTTTCACTACACTTTTCAACCAAGTAGCAAAGGTCCACGGTGTAATCAGTACATGTTCATGAGTAATGCATGGGCAATCACATTTTTCAAACAATCAAGAAGATCAAATCAAGCACCCAATTGATTTTAAAAGATGTTCAGTACAAGAGTCACACTGCTCTACAACCAATCATGTTCAAACTGTTCGAGACTGTGTCTTCAATGTCAACAAAGGCACCCAACTGATTTGCAGTACTTTACCTAGTACAAATTTGAAAGTCCAATTATTTCTCACTGTCTTATCGCAAGTACACTATTGATTTATGGATGTCCAGTCTAACAGAGGTCCAGGAAATTTTGTTAGGGAAGCGTCCAATAGTGAGAGTTCACAGTACCGTAATCAACACCTGCTCAGGGGTAGCGGTGAGCCTTGTCATCAATTACTGTACTAACCTTCCTATTCAGACAGGGCTTTGGTAGTATTTTGTGGCATATTCATTTTGATTCAAATTGAGCACAAACCCCATGATAGGTTACCACATGGAAAAAAGGCAAATAAGTGAATTTGGTAATAGTGAACCGCAAATATGTGGGGTTTACTGCCTTTGTTTTGCTTCTTAAGAGGGGAGAAAGACGGTGGAATTGGGTTCATGTCGTTGTCGGGAACCCCCGTAAAGGGCCCTTGAGTGGCTGCTGTCTGACGGCTACAAGGGGGGCCCCGAGAGACGACAAATATTGGTCCACCTGGAACCAGACACTGCAATGGCGCTAACCAAGTATTTTGTACTGTTTTCTTCCGCATATTTTCAGAGTCAATTTATGAGTTATTTGTTATTTCATGTCAATTATTCATTTAAAAAAGTTTTTTTAGCGGGGAAAGGGAGTGGGCACAACTGCATTTAAAATGGAATGCAGCTGTTAGTTGGACACTTGATGCGGGACACTTGATGTCCGCGAAGTGCTTGCGACAGGTGCAGGACGTGGGTGAAAGTGAAATCAAGTGAGAGAGCCGTGCTATGTACGAATAATCATGCCCGTGTTTGTAGGTAGACTGGGGTTGGGTTGGGGGGCTCCATCCAGGACTGAGGCAACCTCCGCCTGAGATGTCCACCACAGGGTGTTTGTAGGTAGACTGGGGTTGGGTTGGGTTGGGGGGCTCCATCCCAGACTGAGGCAACCTCCGCCTGAGATGTCCACCACAGACAGGCCCGCAGTCACACACCAGCCATTCACGCCATCACATTTTACATGGCTGGAAAAGCCTCACTTGACATTTAACAGCGTTATCCGTCTCAGAGGTGAACTTAAAAGTTATTAGCGTACAGCGGCCCGAAAAAAAGACTCTTGGGTTGCAACTGTTTCAGAATACAAATGAACGAGAAGACAAGCGGCATGTACGGTCAAGAAGAACGCGGACACGGCTCACCATCGATCCCGCCGCAGGAGTCTACAGCCCATGGTGGACGTCCATGTCAGGCCACAAGCGTGTGCCGACATCGCGTTACAGCCTCTTTTCGGGAATTGAGCTTGAGGTTTACGGGTTCCAAGTCTTGTTTGCCTCCCTGTGCTTTCACTCTGTGACGCCATACATTTTCACTGCTCCGCTGATACCTTCTTTTAGGTGCCAGAAAATATTCCAATTTCGGACATTACTTTCAAAGTAAACCTTCGCTGCGTCGAAAGGACATGACTAATCTGAAGTAGCTGTTGTTTTAATTTGAAAGACCCATTTCGTCACTTCTTACTTTTTACATGTACCTTGACTTTCTGGCCAGACCAGATCGGCCCCCTCCGCTCCCAAAAAACACCGCTTCGTGCATATTTTTGTTAATAAGTTACTTTTAAGGTATATTGCCAATTTTGTTGAATTTTTATTTGCAATACTTTTATATTTGACATGGTGTATAAAAAAAAAATAAAATCACCGCTTCCGCAATTACAATTGATCACGTGCTGGTGTTTCAGGAAGTAATAAGTTAACGGACCACAGCGAAATGGATGGTCGTGTTGTTGCGTACAAAATACAAGTTTTTCTTTTTATATTTTCAAGTTTGCTTCTCGATTCCTCATTTTCACAGACCTACTTCCTGAACGACACTGAGGGATTAGGACAAGTCTTTGATGGAATTGGAGGATTGAGTGGTGGAGGAGCGACGACGCGTCTACTCGTCAATTATGCTGAGCCCTACAGAAGCCAGATCCTTGATTACCTTTTTAGGCCGAATTTTGGTGCCTCTTTGCACATTCTTAAGGTCGAAATAGGAGGAGACGCTCAATCAACTGATGGGACGGAGCCATCGCACATGCACTACGAGGATGATGAGAACTACTCCCGAGGATATGAATGGTGGTTGATGAAAGAGGCAAAGAAGAGGAACCCCAACATTACGCTTATTGGTTTGCCCTGGGCATTTCCTGGTTGGGTCGGCCGTGGTAAGCAGTGGCCCTACGACTTCCCAGACGTCACTGTAGAATATGTAGTGAAGTGGATCCTTGGCGCAAAGCAGGTTCACGACCTCAACATCGACTATGTTGGGATTTGGAACGAACGGAACTTTGACAGCAAATATATCAAGCTGCTGCGGTACACTTTGGACAAGAGCGGCCTGGAGAGTGTCAGGATCATAGCCAATGACAACTTGTGGCAGCCCATTTCGCATGCTCTTCTGCTGGATCCGGAGCTCAGCAGCGTTGTCGATGTGATAGGGGCCCACTACCCGGGCACGAACACCGTGGAAGAGGCTCTGAAGACTGGGAAGACGCTGTGGGCTTCAGAGGATGACAGCACTTTCAACAATGAAGTCGGGGGAGGCTGTTGGGCACGCATTCTGAACCAGAACTACATCAACGGATTCATGACTGCCACCATTTGTTGGAATCTCATTGCCAGCTACTATGAGGCACTGCCATTTGGCAGAGACGGTCTTATGACAGCGGAAGAACCCTGGAGTGGCAACTATGTCGTCGAGTCGCCTATCTGGGTTACAGCTCACACATCACAATTCACCCAGCCAGGATGGACCTACCTGAAGACTGTTGGACATTTGGCAAAAGGTGGAAGTTATGTGGCCTTGACAGACGGGAAAGGAAATCTCACAGTTATCATAGAAACGATGACGCACAATCATTCATTGTGCATAAGGCCTCCACTCCCTCCGTACTCGGTGAGTTCACAAAACGCAACCTTTCAGCTGGAAGGCTCTTTTTCCTCCATCAAAGAGTTGCAACTATGGCGCACGCAGTTTAACTTCAAGACAACAAAGCCCACTTTTTTTCAGCGGCTAAGTCCTCTGAAGCTAAAGGATGGAAAATTTACCCTCAGTCTTTCAGAAGATGAGCTTTACACAGTAACCACAATGACGACGGGACAGAAGGGAAACTACCCAGATCCACCCGCTTCTTCTCCCTTCCCAAAGGACTACAAGGATGACTTTACTGTCCAAGAATCTCCCTTCTCAGAAGCTCCATACTTTGCTGATCAGACTGGAGTTTTTGAATATTATACCAACCTGACAGATTCCGGGCCTCATGTCTTCACTTTACGTCAGGTTCTGACTACACGACCTATAACTTGGGTAGCAGATGCAGACCAGACTGTAAGCGTTATCGGTGACTACACGTGGCAGGATGTGAATGTCGAATGTGATGTCTTTATGGAGAGTAGAAAGACTGGTGGCGTTTTCATCGCAGCCCGGGTTGATCAAGGAGGAGCGACAATCCGTAGAGCCCAGGGAATATTTTTCTGGGTCTTTGCGGACGGAACATACAAAGTTACCAATGACATTGCTGGTCTAATGATTCTCGTCGAAGGACAGTCTGGTACACAAGCAGGTGAATGGCACACGCTGTCGCTCACTGTCAAGGGCCAGTTGGCATCAGGAAAGCTGAATGGTTATCAATTGTGGAAGAACGCGATCGTGTTGACACCGAAGAATGGCTGGGCGGCCATCGGGACGCGCTCATTTGAGCTGGCCCAGTTTGATAATTTTGCAGTAAAGGCACTGGAACAAGAACCCTCAATTAGCATGCCTTTTGTTGTGACTGTTTGACTGAAGAGGAGTAGAAGTGCAGCAATTTAATCAAAGATTATCAAAATAACCGACAACTATTTCAATTATTGGTTCATCGTTGAGACCTTAATTTAAATGTGTCCAACAAAATAACCGACAACTATTTCAATTATTAGTTCATCGTTGAGACCTTAATTTAAATGTGTCCAACTCCTCAGAAATTCAGTCTTTCAACAGTAAATATTCTCCGATTTCTGTTGTTCTTCTTGAGAGATGATCTGTTTACTGATTCGTCAAGCTAATACATCTGCTTGTACTTTGTAAAATAATATGCTGATTAATTTATTGTTGTGCTTTTTCTACACTGTCCATTTGAAATCATGTCCTGTTTTTGATTGAAGGTATGGAAATTAAAACTGTGTTTTTTCCCCAATCTGATTCATTGAATCATTAAAAAAATATATTCAACAGATTATTAAGATCGTTGTTAGTTGCGGCTGGTGTCTTAGGACCAAAGTTAAATATACAGAGTATGATATGATATATATATATATATATACACACACACACAAACAAAGTTTACCATGGGCTCTTGTCATCTTTGGTAGCTCAACTATCCATTTCCACTCAATTGGGAGAATAAATACAGGTGATGTTAAAAATAGTGTTTTCTCTTGGAAAAATGCCGCTTTTTCTTATCCTTAATGTTAAACTTGAAACGTTGACGATTACATGACAATTTAACATGAATTGTGCTGTACAATAAATGAAAATATTTGAGGTCCTGAGGATTCGTGGCAAAAATGTCAAGTTCTGGTAACTATTAAGAGTCCACAGCTGCTTTCTATCAATGCTTGAAACTCTGGTGTCTTTCTAAATGGACTGTTTGCGTGGACGATCTTAAAAACATAAACAAATACGTGATTTATATCTCTGTATTGCAGCACAGAGTCAAGTCCAACTTACGACTTTTACACACTACTGTAAAATGCAACAGAATACTGCAATACTCAAGTACCAATAAACAAAGTTTTTGATGCAGCTCTTCTTGCATGAATGCAGACGTACCTAATAAAGTGACCCATGGGAAAATAAGGAAATGTCCTCGTCTGATGATGCAAATTCTATACTATGTGCCGTGAATATATTTCTCTTATTTAAAAAAAAAAAAACATTCAAAATACTGAAAAAAAAAAAATTTAATATTTACAAATCAAGGGAAAAAGT